GGTACGAATAGCATTGGAGGATCCACATTTCGTGTTGATGATGTTGGCCGCTGACGCTGGGTTTGCGCCACCAATCGCTGGTCGATGTAAATCAATTATTATACATAAATCATTTTCTACTGGATGTAAAATGCTCTGCAGTACATTTAGTCATTTTAGAATGTTGAGTTCTAATTCTGTAGTTATTTTGGTGAAAGTAACTAAAAAGTAATATAAGAGTGATGTAACATTAAAATTCTGTGACCGTAATATTGTAAGTTAAGGGATTACTTTTAAATAACAGTAACAAGTAATCTGGAACGCATTACAGTTTGGAAGTATTTTGCACAACACTGGTAGTGAGTAATTTTGAATTTTTTGGGTAAACTATCCCTTTAACAGGTCTTTAATGGAGTCAAACTCACGCAGAGGTGATGGCGCGGTACCGCTCCAATCCAGCGGTGTCCCAGATCTGAGCTTTAATAGTGAGTCCGTTCAGCTGCACAGTTCTAGTGCTGAACTCCACGCCGATGGTCGTCCGGCTGTCGTGGCTAAACTCGTTCTTGGTGAACCGTGACAGCAAGTTGCTTTTGCCAACACCGGATTCTCCAATAAGAACCACTGCAAACAAATACAGAGGTGGATACGAGTCATACATTATGAATATGCTACAAGACTTGACTTCAAGGATTTTATCCGGGGACAGTGACCGTGAATGTCCGGTTCGTTTCCTAAATTGAATGAAACCATAAAGCCACAGAAGCAGGGTGCGAATTATACATTGACGATAGACTTTTTTTCTGTAATCTTAGATTGTGTAGAACATGATTCAGTTAATTAAAGATATGCATTTATTTAAATTACACCTAATTTATTAATAACACTCATTTAAGTTTCATTGTTTTGAGGTATATTTAGTGTCTTCTGAGTTACAGTCACCTCTGATTAGCTATTTCAGAGGTTACTTCAGGTCAAACTATAAACTACGCATCTAATTTGACTTTACGTTTAGGTTGCATGTAGAAACAAACACCAATGTCACTAGAAAAGTGTCTTTTGAATACATATCTGTGCTTTGATCTGCTAGTTACAGACTGGTAAATGTTTTTTTTTCCTCCCATAGACTGGTGCCATTATGCATTTACAATAATATGAACCATTATGGGGTTGTTAAATATATTTTCATATGATCTATTATTTTAATTATTAAATGTTATTATTTAAAATACAGATCAGAGAAAGCTACTTCTCGCTATTTAAGGGCTGACCTCATACATCTTGTTTTGACGTCCTTTAGGGGATCAGTTGTTAATTAGGGGAGTCACTCACCACTTTACACACTCTCTAGTGGTTAAAAACATTTTGAGTTTCTTTTGTTTTAAACAAAAAGAAGATATTTTGAAGAAAGCCTGCAAACACTGACATCCGCAGTAGGAAAAACAAGTACTATGGAAGTCAATGGGTACAGGTTTCTACATTGTAAAAAAAAAGTTGACACAATTTTAAATTAAGGCAACAAACTTCAGGACTTAAATCAAGTCAAGTGCAGTAATTAGGTTGAAAATTTTATTTATATACAGTTGAAGTCAGAATTATTAGCCCCACTGAATTATTAGCGCCCCTGTTTATTTTTTCCCCAATTTCTGTTCTGGGAAGATTGTTTCAGCACATTTCTAAGCATAATAGTTTTAAAAACTTGTTACTAATAACTGATTTATTTTATCTTTTCCATGATGACAGTAAATAATATTTGATAAGATATTTTTTAAGACACTTCTATACAGCTTTAAGTGACATTTAAAGGCTTAACTAGGTTATTTAGGTTAACTAGACAGGTTAGGGTAATTAATTAAGTTATTGTATAACGACGGTTTATTCTGTAGACTATCGAGAAAAAATATAGCTTAAAGGGGCTAATAATTGTCCTTAAAATGTTTTTTAAAACTTTTAAAACTGCT